GGTTGGAATTCACCTTAGGACAGACCCAACTGCTCAGAGAGAACAGTTCATGTCCTGGAGCTATAGGATAAAAGAAAAGAGGGAACAATAAAAACAGGAGCAGTAATTTACAGAGGCGGAACTGGGATGCAAATGGAGCCTGACTCCTAAGCCCACGCTCCCAACCACCAAACCTCCCTGCCTGGTGCAAGGCACCAGGTGAAGAAGCCATGGAGCCAGGGACAGCTTGGGCACCACCACTCACAATATGCCACCCTAAGCAAATCCTCTCTCTGTGCTCACATAGTTCCTACAGCTCGTTGGGTTTCCTGAGAGTTAAATGAGGGAATCCAAAAATCAAGCTCATAGATCAGCAACTGCCATATAATAAATGATTCAATCAATTTTTTTTCCAATATTATGATCCAGAAAACCTATCACTGGACTCAGGAGCTAGAATAGAACCTGACAGAGTAGAATGAAAAGAAGTACTTTAACCTATGGATGAAAGGTAGACCTACAACCGCTGTAAAAGTGAAAAGTCCTCTCCGTTCTAGTGACCACAGAAGCTAAAAGAAAAGTTATTCGCTAAACTGGAACCAGGTTACAAAAAAGAACTGGCCTCCATATAGGTGGTGGTGGGAAGGGCATAACAGGACAAGGTGGTATGCTCAAGGGACTCCAGTAGGCCAGCGCTCTAGAGATGACATGGAAATCCAGCCCCTGCGTGACCACACAGAAAGCCACATTAAGATTGCTGGCTACCGTCTCCTAGTAGACATTACAAGGTAAGAGCACAGGCCAATGCCTGCAATCCCACAGGCTCAATTATCCAGGAGGAAAAACTCTGCACTTTGAATGGAGATGGGAAAGGTAACAGACCCTTCTGGCCAGGAAGACTTCTGTTCTAGAATGAAAACTGGACTGATCATGGCCAAGGGTAGGACAGGCCTGCTGGGAAAACCAGTCCCCCTCCTCCTTGCTGAGCACAATGGCCTGAAAACAAAGACTACTTGCATATCTGCATTAACAAAACTCCTAACATTTAAATTAAGTTTGGAAACAAAGACCTCAGATAAGTCAAAGTTTTGACCTGAGAAGACTTACCAGGAAGAAGTCATAACACTCTTCCTAAAACTAAGCTGGCCCCTGGGCTGGATGAAACAGGAAAGGGTGGTGGGAACTGACAATATGCAAGCTCATCTATGAAAATCAGTGTGTGCGAGCTCCTGTGTGGCAGAGGGCAGGGGCCGCCCACCACTGTCTATTCTCCCCTTCTTCCTTACTGACCACATCCCAGTTTTTTTCAAGGCCACAATATACCACACTTAAACAAAAAACACTACAGTGACCTCCTCCCCGACAGCATGAGGTGGCCACGGGACAGTTCTGCAACTAAAATGGAGGCAGGGACCCTGGATGGAATCTCAGAGAACTCTAAGAGGAAGACTCCAAGCCACCAGGCTTGGCCTCTGTGGGTCCTCCTTGCTCCTCCCTGGAATAGAAGCACAATACGGGGGTAGCGCAGCCACCTTACACTGAGCTATTAAGTATGAAATGGACATGACATGCTGGGCCACCCCTTTGCCATGTGCTGGGAGTGTCCGAGAAGACACAGGAGCCTGGGCTGCAGACTGCACCAGAGTCCCCATTTCATCTGCCTGGCCAGTGATCCCCAGACTCTTAGCAGAGAAAAACAAAACCCTCATTTGGTTAATCCACTGGCTCTTCTGTGCAGCCAACTCTCCATGTTGTAAAAGATCGTTTGTTTTGCAAAAGTCTTTACTGAGGCAAGGTGCCATGAGCTATGAATTAATTTGATTTATAAATAACTTTCTGGCATATTCGTATACACAGAATATACAGAATGAAACATACACACAAAGGAGGATTCTCCTCCACTAACACATAATCTGATAATTAAATCATGAGAATCCTAAAGGCCTACAGATGGCTAAGCTGAAGATTCTCTGTGTGTCTAGGCATGGCCTTTAGAAGAAACTCCTGAGAAGACAGACTGAGGCGGAATCTAACCAGTTGGGGTCAAATGCTGCTCTGCTACCCGCCAGCTGGGTGACACTAGTGTCCTGGTTTTCTCAACTACAAGATGAAAATAACAGTTCCTACTTCAAAGGCTGGTTGCGCACATTAAATGAGTTGCCATTCATACAGCACTTAGACCTATGCCTGATACAATGCTAATATTTACTGAGCCTTTATTAACATTATGAGAAAACTGAAAACTAGATGAATTAATTCATTCTGCAGACGGCAACTTCTTTTCTAAGGCATGAAGCTGGCTTACAATATCAACATGAGCTCAGCTGCAGATGTGGCCAGGCTTAGTTTTAAACCTCAGGCTTTCTCCAGGGCTCATAATCACCACACTCATATTCACACAATCCCAAGAGTGGCCAAGTCTACATGAAGAGCTATTTATCTGGGGATGTATTTATAAAATGAGGGTTGGAAGGAGAGATTAGCAGAGACCACTAAAAATAGTCCTATAAGCAAACAACTTTGCATAAGTCAACGATTTATTAAAAGTCAATACCTGAACATCATTATTATAAAAAACATTCATGTGCCATGCAGTCTGGAAGAATGTGGCCTCTTGTCACCTACGTCAGTCATACATTGGCTCCTTTCATCTTTTTTTAGATTCAAACAAAGAAAATATCCAGGTCTTTCTATGAGGTTGTACTGAAGGGTCCAAAAGTGCACAAGTATTTTGTATGAAGTTGCCAAGTGCTAGCCACAGGTATGTAACCTAATAAGTATCAAAGGTATTCAGCCACCCACACTGACTCTTTCAGGTCAGTAGAAAACTCTTTCGAGATGAAAGCAACCTTGGCTCAGTCACAACATCAAGGCAATTGGATACCAAAAACACATTTTAATCAGTTCTTCCTTTTAAATGCTAAACAAATATAACAGCCTGTGAATTTACACTTCTCTCCCAATCCCAAGAGGGGCCAAAAGAAAAAAATAAATAAAAACACCATTGACAAATCTTAAGGGTGTGAAGATCTTTCTCACAGCTTCTTGTGTGCCCATTACCATGTTTCTTGTTGTACATTATCAAATAGGTAGGTAGAGACTCAGAAAAGTCAAGATGTAACCCTTTCGTGCCTCTAGGGCAGTATTGTCCAATAAAAATACAATGTAAGCCACAAACATGAACCATGGATAACTAAATTTTACTTAAGAAGGTAAAAACAAATAGGTTATACTAATTTTAATGACAAATTTAACCCAATATAAATCTATTGGGTTACTATCAATATGAAATAAATGTAAATACTATCAACATGCATGCAATAAGTTTAAAAATTATTAACAATCTAACATTCTTTTTTCATACCTAGTCTTCAAATGTCACATGCATTTTATATTTAGAGCACTTCATAATTCAGAATAGCCACATTTCAAGAACCCAAGAGCCAGTTTGGCTATTGGCTACCATTACTGAACAGAGAGGTTCTAGAGGCCAAGTTGCTGAAATCACCAGTTTCTCATGCTGTCCTTGAGGATGGACATACAGGTGAAATGAATCACCAGCTTAGTCTCAGCAGTCGCTAGGTGGGGATTTGGTAGCATCTTGAATGGAAAAATATACTTCATTTCCAACTAGGGCACTGGCAAGTATATAGCTTTTAAGACTACCATGCACTGGCAATGCTATTTACCATTTGTCCAGACAAATGGCGGCACAGTATCCAAGTGTTTGTTGTTTTCATCCTTGTTTCACCCAAGAATCCAGGAAATCCTGGTCACCCTTCTCAAGGAGGATGTATTCTTTCCCTTCCCCCAGAGGAGCAGGAAATGGTCAGACATACCCAGAGCACAACCCACACACCTGACAGCCCATTCCCGTGGTCTATGACAGGCACAGGCATGAGAATGAGATGATGGGTTTCCATGATGCTGCAGCCATGGGTGAGACGTTTGAAGATGAGCTGATCTTACCAGCATCACCTACCTCACAGGCCTACTGGGACGACCAAGGGCAATAACATAGAGCTCTTAGCAAACTGTGAAGCGCTATACAATTCTAGTTACAATATTGAGAAAGGACACCATTCCTCACCTGAAAGAGCAGATAGAAAAGAAAAAGACAGTAACTTCAAACAGAGGTGCTGAAGTGGGGAGGGGGAACCCCTGAAAATCTGCTGGTCGTTGGTGGACTTTGTTCTCTTGGAAGAGTACAAAGAGGTTTGAGAAGCCTCCAGCACCTTTTGCTGGGAATCTTGGGAGGCGCTAAAAAGTACAGACAACGAGGAGTAAACCTTAGCCCTGTTTCGCCGCCCATCACCCACTGCGTATCCTCGCACAACTGAAGACAGGGCTTCAAAACAGATCTCTCCTTCCCAGGAGAAAGGTGGCCCGAAAACCCTGCGCCACCGGGGGGTACTGGCGCCTTCCCGAGCTAAAGTCACCGCCTCCCCGGGAGCCTTGGCTCTAGGTTTCTCTCCAGCGCAAACGCCACAATGCTGGCTCCGTGCTGCCGGCTCTACCGTCTTTTCCAACCAAAACAGACAGGCTCGGCCAGGGCCGCGGTCTCCCTTTACCTGTCCAACCGCCCGGTCATGCCCGCGGACTGCACTGGGCAGGCAGCATTTACAAGGTCCAGCGATAGTCACCCACACAAAGGCGCCTTGTGCCTCTGCGCTCGCGGACGGGCAGCCAGGTTCCCGGGCACCGCACCCGGACAGACAGGGAGGGCGCCCCCAGCGCCAAGCCCCGAATCCCCAGTCCTTATCCCCAGAGAAAGGCAACCCCTACTCCTGTTTTAAAGATGGGGCTCCCTTCGGCTTGCCACCATCCGCACCCCCAAAAGGAACAGCTCAGAGCTGGCACACACGAAAGGGGCGCAAAGGCCACTCGGCAGAAGTTTGCATTGTCACCGCGCTGTGCTCTCGTCTTGTCTCGCCTGCAGGAGGGGCTGGGCACCCCCTCCCCAGCTCCAGCCCGCCCCACTCCAGGGCTGCAGGACGCCTGGGCCCCCCAGGTCCGCTCACCTCTAGTCCAGTCCACCACCTGTTTGGGGCTCCACTTGGTCACGGGTTCCATGGTAAAGGGCTTCGCTACCCGCTGGGCTAAGGGAGTCAGCGGTAAAGTGCTGCCTGCGCCGCGGCTCGTCCCCTGCGCTCCAGAGCGCCCCGTCAAGGCTGCATGGCAGCGGTCAACGGGTCATCCCGGCGCGGCTCAGTCAGGGGAGTGCGGCCCGGCTGCCAGCCCAGGGGACAGCTGCGCAGCTCCTCCTCCAACTGCCACAGTCCAGCTGCGCTCTCCTCCTTTCCCCGCCGCCGCCGCCGGGACCCCGGGCACAGCTGCTGCTCCTGGTCGACAGCAGTTGCGGGCACGCAGGGCTGCGACCCCAGACGCCTGGCCTCAGTTCGGCCCGGGACTCTCTCGGCCTGGGACCACTTCCTCGGCTCCCAGAACGCGCGCTCCGCTCCCCTTGGGCTCCTTCAGTGCGCCGTGTGCTCTGCTGGGTCCCCGCTCCGCGTGCGCTGGCGCCCGGAGCCTTCCCGCCCGCGGGCCCCACCTCCTGCGCCGCGCTCAGGGGCCGCCCTGGCAGGGAGGAGCGCAGAGCGTGCGCGCTCGGATTACAAAGTTTCAGCTCCCGGTGTCGCTACCCGAATAAAAGAGGGGGCGGGGCAAAGACCCGGGAGACACTCCTGGGAGGGGGAGGATCCGACTCTGGTTACTTTCCCTGGTTAAGCCTCGAGAGCGCACACCCAGAGCGTCCCGGCCGTACTTTCCTTTTCAAGGGGCGGGCTGTAGCTCCAGCGTGCATCCTGGAGAGCCGGTTGGCTCGCGTGAGGCCCTGGTCCTATTGGAGCAGAACAGTCTCTGAACGTGAACAACAGTACACTTAAAAAAAAAAAAAAAGTATGGTCTACACGTTCTGTTCGTTTAAAATGTTTCGTATCACAATCACAATATTGCTTTTCTATTCCGCTGTCCTCGTTACAAGTGGAATTATTTTATTTATTTTTTGTATGAAAAGATGACAATGTAACGCTTAACGCTATTGCAGTATTTCAATTTCTCAAATTCATCTCGGCAGACTGGCAGCTCTTCACGTTACACATTGCCATATTATAGTATTCATATTTGCAAAGTGAGCTAAGGCTCATTTAGATTAGTCATTAACTTTGAGGGGGAAATTGTTAGCCAGCCAAGGGGAAAAAAAAAAAACAAAAAACTGTGTGCATAGTTTCAACGACTAGGGAAGAGCCCTTCCACATTCATGAGTACTCAATCTGGGACCAGAGCTAACACTAAACTGTGAAAATCCTAAATGCCACTGCCTATATCTCCTTCAGGCCCTCCCTATTCTACCTTCCAAATATGCATAGAAGTTTTCTTGGCCCTTAGTGATTCTTCCTTTCAATTAAAAGGTATTGATTTACATTTTGCCTTGGCAACTGTAATCCCTTAAAGGTTGAACCTCCTTCACATTATATAGTGCTTTTTCTCCTCTTCCTCTTCCAACCAACTAGCTCCTAGCATCTAGTACAAGGATATAGCTAATATTTATTCATTCAGTAAATATCTGTGAATGCTGGCCATGTGCCAGCCACTGCATTAATTCACTATTTGTTAAAGTGGGATAATAGGTACTATTTGGCCCATGAGGGAAAGAGGGCTAGCACCTAGGCATCTGTTGTACAGTGTGATGAGCTAGATCAATAAAGCAGAAGACACATTAAAGGAAGAAAAACATCAGAACCCCTCTCATGCAGTGTATCTATAGGACTGAGGAACCACAGCAACACAGATATACAGCTATCAAACACAATAGGATTGTTGTTTTGTGCAAGAGTGATAGGCAGACCGGGAAACTTGGCAAAGTCAATGATAAAATTCCTGATAGAGTAGTCGTCCTAAAAAAAGAAAAAAAGATCTTTGAAATCATCCATTGTTAACTTTATGGCAGTTAAGTAGGAAGATGTACCTGGACATTTGTTCACTGGAAGATATGACCAATCTCATCCATGCCTTTATTTCCAGCAATCACTACATGCTATGTCATTAGCGATTATGATTCGGGTGACCACATACTTTATCTCCAAATCAAAATATTCCTGGATATTGATAATTAAGTTATTGATAATTAGATTGGAATAAGATAAACTAGGCCATATAATCCCTGTAATTATGCATAGGGGAGGGGAAGAGAAGTCAAGTGCTGGTGATTTTGCCATGGTGTTGATGCTTTTGTCAAGTGTTAATACTTTCAAACTGTTTTCAAATTCATTTACACTAGTCTTTACTGAAGAGTTAAAAAGCTAAAATTCGGGATTTTATCCGGCTGAATCAACACACTGTCTACCCTCAGTACATAATCCAGCATAGCTAAAGAGGAAGGCTTGCTAAAATCTCTAACCAGGAAGGTCAATTAACTATCTAAATGAATTAACATTCTGTTTACACTTCAAGTCCTGAAGGCTAATTATTATTTAAATAAGAACTTCTAACTTAATTACAGCTCTTAGCATGTGAAAGTTTTAGGGAGGCCTGACTTTATATGTAAAATGCAAATTTGAAAATATAGAAAGTCACTACAGGCAAACAATAAAGGCAGAGTTCTAGGTAAGTAGAATTGGAAATTAAAGTGTATAAAAAAAGGTCATTTATAATTTGCCTATTTTTTCCTCTCTGCTAACTATAATCATAGTTGCAATGTTACCTTGTATATGCACATGGTACCAAACTGCCTCTCTGCAGCAGAACTCTTCTGCTTTACACCTTGATACTACAATTCCTTGCACAAACAAGGAATGGCATAAGTTTTTTTGGTTTTTGGTTTTTGCGGGGTTTGGGGGGTTTTTTTGTTTGTTTGTTTGTTTAGTTGAATGAATAAAACAACTAATGCTAGGACCCAGGTATCCTAGAATTCTCTTTCCTGCTGCTTTATTTTTTCTGACCTTGGGCTTCCTTGCATATTTAGGTCATTTATTCAATCAATCAAATATGTTGTAAGGATCTGTAAAGCATCTACTCAAAGGGGCACAAGGAGGTCAGAAATGAATGCCCAGTGGCTTTCATAGATCACGTGACTTTCTGAGGGAGGAGCAGTTTCTTCTTCAAACAGAGGAAATCTGATTTTCCTTGCCTTGAAATTCAGAAAAGAAGTTTTTGAGGACAGATGTGATATTAACAATTTGAGCCAGTCTAAAATTTATTATTATTTTATTTGAGAACTAGGAATGGAGCATTTTTGGATTAGTAACTATTACTATAATTTTTTTAAAATAAATACAGGAATAGCAAAAGACCTGGCCCCTTCCCCAGCAAAGCAATGTTTTTCAGAATGAAAAAAATAAAATAAAATAAATGTAAGCTGCTCTAATGGCCAACGTTTTCTCTAGGGCCCTTCTCTTGATAATCATTTTTTTCCCCACAATATTGCTTGTTGTTGTTGTTGTTGTTTTCAAGAACATTTTTAATCATTTAATTTTTTTCACACATAAATTGCCTCACGTATGTCTCATTTGTTATCTTTTAACTTGAGAGATACCAACAGATTCTGCAAATTGCTGCCTGGGAAATATCCTACAGTTGGAGCTTAGCATTCTTATCTATGACATTACCTCACTACAAAGTCATCAGTTAACTAAATTATCCAGGCTGCAGATGATCTTGTCTTCCACTCAACTCCATTTGGTCTGGCTTCTTCACACAGTAGTAATGGAGTTATCTCCCTAAACATACCAGGTTTCCATCAGACAACTCAGGTAGTGAAGTTCTCAAACTTGTTTTCATTAAACAAATGCTGCCTTACTTATTTGAATTCTTTTGATCATTCAGGTCCCTTAATGAAGTCATCCTGCAGCAGGAAAACTGATATTTGTCTTTCTTTTACTGAGTTTGCAACTCAAAGATCAATGTCAATTGGATAAAGTTCCAAAACCTCACCTATTTTAAATCATACCTACAGAAGTTGATTACACTTTTATAATAAAAGGAGAAACACAGACGCTGTTCAATCCTATTTTCAAAGATCTGAAGCTGTATTTTGTCATAGAAGGTAATATCTACAGAAAGTGTTGAGTTTTAAGGGACAAGTGCTAAAGCAGCTGAGGAGCACACAGCAGAGACAAAAAAAGAACAATCAGCCCTGCATCCCTCCCCCGGGACCTGGGACCTGCACTCTTCTTGCAGCTATCAGGTTGCAGAGTGTCCAGAAAGAACGGAATGCTATTCCCATCAGTTGTTCTAGTAGTTTCAATTTAACTTTATGGAATTCATAATCTCTGAACAAGTAAATAAAATACCAAGAGTTCTGTGTTGATAATGACAAAGGATTGAGTGGAAAAAGATTAATGAAAGTCATTCTAGACCTAAAATTAAAAGTCATTCAATTAGGCCAAGTGAAGTTTTAGAATAAAACACAGCTTTGAGTGCAGTAAACACACTAAACTAAATTGTTTTCAGTTCTCTACACTATTAACAAAAAAGACATAAAAATGACTGTTTACATTTGTCTTTTATATTTCTCTAACTTGAATTTGGCATATCGGAAATATTTTATGTCATTTCATATCAATAGAAATATACATTCAAATACATTAAACTATAATTAAGCAGCTTTAACAAACCCTGAGTACCATCTAAACATTGCTTGCTTTCCTACTGCTTAGCTAAAATTGTATGTAGAGCAAGAAATTTCTAGTTTCCAGCTACACTAGAAGTATTTAAATTCTGCCGCCACTACTAATCAACACATCCAGATTTGCACCAAAAGCTCATTTATGTTTCCCATTTCGGATCCTTAGACATAAGAGCCTACTGTAACAGGACTCTGTTCCTTAATTTTCCAAAATAGCCCCTTACATTTAGAAATACTGTCTTCATTTAGGATTGGGGAGAAGTGGAAAGAAAAAGAACATATTAAAAAAGCAGCAAGGGTTTCTGCCTACTCAGCATCAGAAGGGACAGGATTAAAATTAATACCAATCAGTATTTTCCTCTCAGGAGTCAGAGAATTCCATAGGATTTTGAGAGTATTCCCAAAGGTCTAATTGAGCAGGAGAACTCACACTTGCTGCCAAAAAATC